ATGGCGGGTGAAAAGGCTGAGAAGCCAGACACTAAGGAGAAGAAACCTGGAGCCAAGAAGGCTGATGCCGTTGGCAAGGATAAAAAGGAAGACTCTACGGATAAGAAACCCAAGAAAGGAAAGCCCCACTGCAGCCGGAACCCTGTCCTGGTTAGAGGAATTGGCAGATACTCCCGATCTGCCATGTACTCCCGAAAGGCCATGTATAAGAGGAAGTACACTGCTGCTAAGTCCAAGGTATGGAAAGAAGAAAACCAATAACCATTATGTCTCGGCGTTCATTCTCTGTCTCTTTTTGATGCATTTGTCTTTGTAGGTTGAGAAGAAGAAGAAGGAGAAGGTTCTTGCTACTGTTACAAAACCAGTCGGTGGTGACAAGAATGGTGGTACCAGGGTGGTTAAGCTTCGCAAAATGGTGAGATTTGGGGGAGGCTGTGAAATGAGATTTTTAGATTAAAGTTGAAAATTTAACGATGTTCTTGTGCACTTAAATAACACATAAGCTCCTGCTTACCAGAGGATTGCTAGTTGAAGATAAAGGTTCTGGTTTTGCAAAGTTGTCTTTGAAACATTTATTACATCTGATGTAAGTTGAGTTACCTTTCCTGAGCTTTGTTTCTGATAGGTTTATAGTGAAAGTGAGACTGCATGAAATAAGTTACTTATACTGGAGTTGTAGCTCAGTGGTTGGGCTCTTGGATAACATGCACAAAGAAAGCCCTGGATTCCTTTGTGAATAAAAGAGGAGTGAGACCTGTTGCTGTGAGGATGTTATACTTGATTTCAACTAGAAAACAAGCTGCATCTCTGTTTCCAAAGTCTAAATAGGTGACCTGCTTGCAGTTTTCTTTTCTTGAACACTCAACTCCTGTGTTAAATCATATGCTTTGTACATAGAAGATGTGAGCTTTTCTAAATTTAAAGTCTGTTTTGGAAGATGAAAAGAGAAGGATGTAACTAAAGCATTTGAGTTTCAAACAAGGAAAAAGATTAGCAATGTTTTCATGATACCAGATTTGGCTCTTCTGATCTAATGGTTTTTACTTAAGTAAGTGGAGTCCATGAACTGTCTCTAGCCTAGATACTACCCGACTGAAGATGTGCCACGGAAGCTGTTGAGCCACGGCAAGAAACCCTTCAGTCAGCACGTGAGAAAGCTGCGAGCCAGCATCACTCCTGGGACCATCCTGATCATCCTCACTGGTCGCCACAGAGGCAAGGTAAGCAGAGTGCCTAATACAGTATGATTTAACCAGTATAAGTAACTTATTTCTTTCATCATTACAGATGACACCTATCCATTTGCTTGGAAATGTGTTTATATCTACTTTCTTAAGTTAGCCTAGTGTGATTGCTTCCAGAACTGCTGGGCTACCAAATTTGGGTGGCTTGTGATGTGGTTAATTCAAAAGTCATTTTTTTTGTGGTGCTAAAGATTGAACCCAGGGCCTTGTGCATACAAGACGAGCACTCTAATAACTGAGCTATATTTTTAGCCTTCACAAGTCAGTTTTTAATTGGAAAAAATCTTTTGTTTAACTTATAGAGAGTGGTTTTCCTGAAGCAGCTGAGCAGTGGCTTGCTACTTGTGACAGGTAAGAAAATCTGTAGATTTTTATGTTCTGAAGAGATTTTAAAACATTTGCAGTATATGTGTTTCTGTGTTTCTGCTATTTATGCTGTAGTTTCTTAATACTGAGCTTCTGGTCCTCATTTCACTGCCTTATATATGTGAGATAAAGGGGCAAATATCAAATAACTTTCGTCTAAAATACCGAATGAGCCAGGCAAAAGGGCTGGGATGTGGCTTAGTGGTTAAGTGCTTCTGGATTCAATCCTTGGTACCAAAGTAAACAAAAAAAACCATGGTTTTGATCAACCTGTAAAAGTAAGTGACGTGTCTTTTATCAGCCTGGGTCACCTGAAAAGATTTGAGGGGGCAAAGGCCCTGGACAGACAGATACTAGAACATTCTAGATTCTGGTACAGTTGAGAATTTTTCTAAATCAGGATTAATGCCAAGTTAAAATCAGCAATTGTTTCCATTTTACTTTATTAATGTTTTCTTTAGGACCTCTTTCCCTCAATCGAGTTCCTCTGCGTAGAACACACCAGAAATTTGTTATCGCCACCTCCACAAAGATTGATATCAGCAACGTGAAAATCCCAAAACATCTCACTGATGCTTACTTCAAGAAGAAGAAGTTGAGGAAGCCCCGACACCAGGAAGGTGAAATCTTCGACACAGAGAAAGAGGTACAGTTCTTTTCTCTTGTCACTTGTGACAGCACTTGGGGGATGGGGATTGAGGGCTAAGCATTGTATTTGTAACTTGGTAATAGTAACCTTTTTTAAATGTCTCATTTTCTCTTTAGAAATACGAGATCACAGAGCAGCGCAAGGTTGATCAGAAAGCTGTGGACACACAAATTCTACCCAAAATCAAAGCTATCCCTCAGCTCCAGGGCTACATGCGATCCGTTTTTGCTCTAACAAATGGAATTTATCCTCACAAATTGGTATTCTAAATTTCTTATGAAGAATCTAATTAAATAACTGATACATTTTATTTGTGTCCTTTTTATTTTATTCTCGTTACGTTACGTTGGTCTTTAGACAAATTCTAGCCTTCCTGGAGGTAGGGCATGACCCTGCTGGTATGATGGGGTTTTGCCTCTGGTATAGGGTGGGATTGGAGGAGACCCCCTCTGGGGAGTGGAACCGCACCCTCCTGGGCCTTGGAAGAGCCCTTTGGCTTCAGATTTATCCTTGGTATCTGGTTTGTTTTTCACCAACCTCCCCCAATGTCAGCTCACATTACTAATCAGCATTTATTTATATGTGGTGCTGAGGATTGAACCCAGTGCCTTACATGCTAGACAAAGTGCTCTACCACTGAGCCACAACCCTAGCTTCCTAAATCAGTTTTATTGATATATATTACATAATGGCAAAATTAATCCTTTTTGACCACAATTCAATGAAAGGACCTCGAAAAGAATTTCCATCACCTCATAATCTTCCTTCAAGTTAATTAATTACATAGTCATCTGTTAGTCCTGGCAACCAGTGATCAAATTTCAGTTCATATAGTTTTTGCCCTTTTCTAAAATGTCATTACTTAGGTAGCTTTTTGAGTTTGGCTTCTTTTTTATTTTTTAATATTTCTTTTCTAGGTGTAGATGGACACAACACAATACTTTTTATTTTTATGTGGTTCTGAGGATCAAACTTGGGTCCCGCCCATGCTAGGGGAGCCCTCTACCACTGAGCCACATTCCCAGCCCTGAGTCTGGCTTCTTAACACAATATTTAATATCATAACTCAGTGATTATTATTAACTAGTATTCCAATGTATTGGTATATCGGTGTATCCTTTGAAATGCATTTGGTGTGTTTACAGTAATTTATGACCATGAATAAAATCACAACATTCACATACCTGTTGTATGGACGTACT